GTCCATTAAGTCGTATAAATTTCTTACCGTTACTACAGTTGAACCTCGTCAGTACGACGATTGTGGTAACAAAATAATTTATTGAGGTGTAAAAATTAATTAAGATAAAAGAGATGTGAAATAGAAGAAATTATGTCGTCGCTTCTCCAGGAAATTTATCACTACCGAAGTAGATATGCTAATAAATTGATGGGTTTTTTTTTTCATTTGTGTTGATTATTTTAAATTAGAGCAAAATGTCGACTTTTTTTCAGTTCCCCTCCGGAGAAGTGTTCAGTGCATATGCGAAACCGTTGGTTGATAGTTCAACAGAGAAACCAAAATGGCGAACAATTAATGTTAAAGAACTGGAAACATTTGTATGGGAGAAACTTGGATGGGATCCGAAATATTTGGAGCAGGTACCTGCCGATATGTGGCATTTCATTAGCTTTAAGCAGTGATGTCTGCTTGATTTTCACATCCAGAAACCCCTCAAATTTATTGTTGATCCACTGTGCCACGCTCGAATCCGTGGGATTTGAATGCATTTTTCCGTTCCAGAGTCAAAAAAAAGGGTCAAAGTCAAAAATCCGCTTCTTATTCTACCAAGGATTTGCTCGGATAACTATATGCCAGTAGTATTGGCTTCTACACTTATGCAGTTCAAATTCAATAAGTAGCGAGATCCAGGATTTCAGGTGCAGATAATAACTTTTAAGCTTTTACCCTTATGCAATTCAAATTTACTAAGCATCGAAATTCAGCATTCCAGGCGCAGTTAGTAGCTTTTAAGCTTCCTGCAGGGCTTCTGAATGACCCCCTTTTCGAGGGTCACGTATTAGCAAGCTGATGGGAGTTCTGACTCTCTGACAGATGCCTCTGCCTGTTTTACCGTCGAAGCCGACGAGCTATTTTAGAAGAGGATGGTTGTCTAGTACTTGGGAATTTGAACTACTTTATAATATGAAAAATTAAATCTTTTTGATAATGATGAATGAATGTTTTTTTTTAAAGCAAACACACAAATCACTACTGAAATGGAATGATTATTTGAATCCAGCAGCTGGCGGTTGCGGTCAGTCCTATCAGATGCACATCACATCTTTTGCTCATAGCCTGCATAAATCGGAAGCCGATCAACGTTTAACGCCAACTGCTCGTGTTCAAGCTGCTCTACAGCGTTTGGTCACTATAAAAAGTATGCATTTTTTTTTAAATAATTTAAACTATGCTGTTAGAGTCGGCAGCAGATTGACCGCCAAGCGATGCGGCATTGATCAAAGCAACTGGAAAAAATTGCCAGTTTTATGATTGGCGGAACAGAGTGTGCTGTGACAAGTATGGAACCTTTGCGAATACAAGTTTTTTTTGCAAAAGTCTGCACATTAGAAACGAAATTGATTTTTTTTACCTAAAGTTATAGCTGAATTTTTAGCCATTGCAGGATCAAAGTTCAGATTCTCAAAATTTCAACTTTCTGTTAGATTTGGTAGTGGAATCGGAAATAGTGGGAGGCAAAACATATATATATGGAGAGAGCAACTCATCCGGATGTTTTTTCGCATTTTTTGTATTTGAAAAAAAGTAAATGAAACAAGTATTTTGATTAATTTCTAGTTACCCCTGCGTCTTCCTGGCTGGAGATGGACCTATCTGTATGTCGTTGCTGACTTAGCAAGGGGGTTTTTTTGGACTTTGGTTTCGTGTGATGATTAATTCCTCTGTGAACCCACTGGATACTAACAAGGAGTGTATTCTGGCATTTTGCTTTCGCATGCGCGCAGCCAGCAATAGCGTCATAGGACAAATGCGGAGAAGACTGAGAATTAATTTTGCTGAAGAGCCGACTGTCTTGACGGCATAAAGCATGCTATTTTGACGATTAAAAAAAAAGAAATATGTCCTTTGTGTTTCCTTTTTTCATAAGCCACAAAGCATGCCATCCTTTGTTAAACCCAATTTTCGAGATGAATTTTTTAAGCAGCTATGCAGGGCTGCACTTTTAACCTTCATGTTATTCTCCATGGCTGCACAGCGCGTGCCGTGGCAAAAACAACACTATTCTGGACGTTCATCAACCTCATCTTTTACAAAACATCGATAACCCGGGGACTGAGGGGTGCTAACAATCTTAGGTGACCAAAAAATCGCCATGAACTGAGTCTCTCGGTATGCATCTACAACCGTCAATTGCTGACGAGGGCTGATAGGGGAAGTACTGAGCTCAGGATCAAAAGGCCTGGCATAGCTTTTTTCAACTCAAAACCACCAGTGGTCGGAATATTTCAAAATGGTTGCACTTCATCGTGTGATAGAAAGCTGTTTTTTGCCCTTATTCGATTCCCTTAATATGCTTTTATTTTCAGGCAGTCAGGGTCCGGCGTTGCCTGATAGTTGCACTTCAAGTGAATCTACTACAAATGATAAAATTGCAAATACGGCGAAGGTGAATCTCTTGCTTTTGCTGGTTTTTTTGGTTGCATGCTTATGGCGCTGTCATTTTCTAAAAGCAGTAAGAATAATAATAAGGTATATTAAAAGGGAAGTATATTAAAAACGGATGAAAAGAGATGAACAGAGAGGAAGGTAAGAGATGAGAATTACAAAATTTGTAAATTAATAAAATTATTTTAGTGGTAAGAAATGTTTCGGTCCGTGAAGTCTTATATTTATCGAGGAAAGGAAAATGAACTAATAATGTAAGAAAGTCAGCTTTTTACCCACCCATTGCACATCTCCATTATTTGTATTTGCAGGTTGCAGTTGCTGTGAAAAATCCGAGGAAAAGAAAATCTAGTGTGAGAGTAAGGGCAGAGAAGAAGAAGGATTCAAAAAATGCTTCGAAGAAAAATACAAAAAATTCAAAAAAGGCAAAAAATACTCGTTGTGCAGCCGCAGCCGCTGGTGAAGAGCTGAAACTATCGGAAGAAAGCTGTGCGAGTGATGCTGACTAACATGCTCAGCATAATCGGCTACTTTCTCAATGATTTTTCTGTTTACCGTTCATCACGGTGATTTAGTGAACCGTTGGCATAGTGTTAAAGTAGTCTAGTAATAGTCAATATTTGTGAGTATTAGACTGAGTAATAAATGGAACGAGTGAATAAGATACATTGGCGAATCCATAAGATACATTTCCCTCCCTCC